TTATTGGCAGTGCACACACTTTAATTGTAACTACTTGTATTTGGTCATAAGATATCCATCACTTCAGACAAATAAATTTTTACTTTTTAACAAACTCAAAAATATGTATGTACTTTACTAGATTTTTAAATATTTTTTAAAGAAAATATTTAAATGTATTTAAATGAAAAAGTACAGTAAAACAGTAATATTATGAAATAGTGTTAAAATTTGAAATAAGAGTTTTCTATTTTAAAATATTTTAAATTGTGATTTATTCTTGTGATGGCAAAACTTAATTTTTCAGCAGCCGTTACTCCAGTCACATTATCCTTCAAAAAACATTGTAATGTCCCACGATAATTTTCTAGTTTTTTTTTTTTTTGCCCCCTTTGCTGTGGTGTGAATATACTAGTTTTCCTCTTTTCAGTTTCATTTGGGTCAGGTCAGGCCAGGCAGATGTGTCTGCCTGCTGGTTACTTCTTTCTGACAGGCCGGTTGTCAGACCAGGGCATCTAGTTGTTCTGTTCCCAGGCACGGCACTCTTTGATGGGGATTTCTCCCACCCACCTCTCATCAGCCTACCCACTTCCCACAGCCTTCCAGAGAGACTGGGCAAACAAGACCCCGCGTTCTGCCAATTTGTCCGTACAAAACGCAGGGATTTGGGGGCCTACAGACACTCTTACACAGACAAATGGTAAGTATTTGCCTGGCAGTCTGAGATTCCTCACCCCCACCTCTATCTACGCATAAACACACACTCACTTGGTGCTTTCTCTACACTCTCCGGCCACTGGTTTCTTTAGTCTGACTTTCTTTAACCAGCCCTTCTGACAAAAAAAAAAAAAAAAAAAGACAGACTTGCTAAAAAAGTTTCATAGACCAGTATATTTATGTTTTTTTTTGTATTTAATTGTTGTTTTTTTACTGGTTCCTCATCATGGCTATGTTGTTCAAGCTGGGTTACCAGTAATAAGCAGTAACAGATTGTAATAGACCAGTATTGGCCAGCTAAAATCAGATCATCTTGGATCTTTTTTTTATTTTACATTTTGTCCGGATGTCATCTGGGTACTGGGTATACTATGTCCAGTTGCATTATTGACTTAAACACACTACTAATGCTAGTAAATGGTGTAAAATAGTGCAGAAATAAGTAAGTAACTCTCCTCCTGTAGGTGTCTGGGTTCCACCCGTTTTCAGATAAAATGTCTGAATTGTGTGTGACAGGCTTGGGGTTCCTGCAGCCCTGTTGGATGTAAATGGGCTGAGGTCTCGGTGTATTATTGTGAGTGGGGCAGTCTATCAGAGACCGGACTGAGGCCTGAGGCCCCGCGGTCCTCCTGGCATCCTGATCAGAGGATTAGCAGCATACAGCCGCAGGTCAAGAGCATGCCAGTCACACACACTCTCTTTAACACACACCCACACTTGTCATTTCACTTTCTCTCACAAAAACCTTCGCTTTCACACACGCACGCCTGGAGAGAGCATTTCTCAACCTCTCACACTTGTGCAGAAGAGTCCTGTTTGATAGCAGGCTGTGGATTAGGTTCTGTGTTCTCTTTCATTCTTATTCTGATTGGCTTATGCTCTTGAGAGTCTTTTTTACTACAGTGAGGTTGCGCAAGTCCATACAATGAAATGGGATTTTTTTCTCATGACATCATTTTCCCCCGTCCTCCCACATTTGAAAGGTTTTTACATTTTTTTCTTCTTTTTTTTCATTTAAGACACAAGAAGGATCATTGTTCAGTTTTATGCTGCTATTGTTTGCATAAAAGATCACACGTTTGTTATTTGATCCATAAAGCAGGTGGTAGTAAAAATGTGGCCTGGTTTTAAGTTGTTTTCTTTTATTCATCTGTTCTCAGATAATAAATATTATTGTGCTTATTACAGACATTAACCCACAGTTCTACTTGATACTTTAAGCACATATGGCAGGTGGTCAATGTCAGGCCGAGCCATTCCAGCTTCAGAATATAGGGGTGTGCTGGTGTTTGACCAGAGAAGCGTGTCCTGTCTGTTATTGTACCCCTGCACTGACCCCTGTCCATCCCTCAATAGTGCAATGCCTTGTTGCCCCCAGCATGAGGTCCCAGCATCCCCTAGTTGTGATAGTGGGGGGCACACAGCAAGGGGCCTTAGAGGGGATGCAGAATTAGCAGCTAAAATGGAGACTCACATTTCCATATGCATGCCACTGACAAGTGTTATACTGACAAACCCGGTACCAATACGTGTACAAGGTGGCCTAATGCAACAAGATGGGGCGACGAAGGGGGCGCTGGGGGTTGGGCTTTAAAGGGGGCAGCAATATTGTACTAATTCGTGCAAGAGACTCTCTATCAAAGCGAAAGACATACGGTAATTAACGAGGGGTGATGGGAAAAAGAGAGGAAAGAAAGAGCAGGAAGAATGAGTTTGGGAGCAAGAGGGACAGAGATGCTGATTTTGACGTGTAAATGCTGTGTTTATTAGCATATGGTGGTTTGTCCAGACCCAGTATTTGCCAGCAGAATTGAATGTGTGCGTGGCATGGATGTGACTTTGTCCCCCCTAAATTTCCAAAGCCACCTTTTCAGATACAACCTTCCCCCACTCCCAAACACCCCCTCACCTTTCAATTCCTTTTCTTACCTCTTTTCTATGGCCATTGCCTTTTTCTGCCCTCTTTCTCAATGGTTATCAACCGTTGTTGGTACTGTTGTTACCAACGGCCAGGCAGATTTTTTTTCTTGTTCTTTTTTCTTTATTTAAAGATCAGTCTTGTCCAGCAAGTACAATGTGATCAGCGGACACTTACTTTTATTCTTGCCAAAAGTACTAGTACTAAAAATACAACAGATTTTAAACATTAGCTCCAAAAATATGAAAACTGCATGATAAGAAAATTAAAAGTGCATTCTCTAATTAATAAATTCAGTTATCTTTGGTTTTGGTAACAGTTAAATGAAGTATTAAATAATTATTTATGTTTCAATTTTTATTATTATTTTTTATTTATTTATTAACTTAATTTGTTTAATTATTTATTGTATTTAAGTATTATTATTATTACTATTATTATTTTTTATTAAATTAAATGAAATGATTAGGCATTTGTGCCAAAAACTGCATGGCCACTCTTTAGTTCTCACTATAAATTCCAATTCTCACTATTAACTATGGCTTTTGCTTCAATAATCTACTAATTTACTGCTTATTAATAGTTAGTAAGGTAGTTGTTAAGTTTAGGTATTGGGTAGGATTAGGAATGTAGAATATGGTCATGCAGAATATGTGCTTTATAAGTACTAATACACAGCCAATATGTAAATAATAGGCATGCTAACAAGCATAGTTAATAGTGAGAATTGGTCATTATACTAAAGTGTTACAGGTAGGGATCTAAAATATGGTCATGCAGAATAAGGCATTAATATGTGCTTTATAAGTACTAATAAACAGCCAATATGCTAGTAATGTGCATGCCAATAAGCAACTGGTGAATAGTAAGAAATGGTCCCTAAACTAATTATTTTTATTAATTAAATGGTATTTTACATGATTCGGCATCTGCAGTAAGGTAAAGTATTTCACACTTTTCTCTGGGACTGAAAAAGAGCAGAGCAGGTCGCCCAGTGTGGTGCCTCTCATCTTTTGTGTGCTGGTTTCCCCATGCCAGCTTTCTGCTGTCACATTAGTGCACATCAAATGCACGAGCTCACATGCAAATGTACTCCTAGACTTTTAGCTTTTTAGCTGGCTCAGTTGCTTCCTTTGCAAACAGGAAGTACTTTTTAGTCTTTCAAACCGATTTGCTAAGTGTCATCATGTTTGTTTTTCCTTTTTAAGTGTCTCTCAGGGCTGTTTTTGGAGCAATTATTTACACCTGCTGCAATGGGTAAGTGGGAGCAAGAATCCTTCATCATATAATGAACTCCTGGCAGACCCTCGCCACTGAATATTTCCCTCTGGCCAGTGGAATAGCAAGCCAGATATACAGCAAGTAATATCAACCATGTGTGATTGTGAAGTTTGTGTGGGTATGTGTCAGACGATCAGTGTGAGTGGTCAGCCTGTTACAGGTCAAAGTTAATGGTCATCAATGGTTGAGGTTGACGGCACTCCATCTGGTGGGGACTTGACCTCTGAGGGTCAGGGCTAAAAAGTGTAAGTGCAGAGCTTGTCTTCAAAAGTTTTCTTTCTGTGTGTGACGGATCAAGTATGTAAATCACATATTCGTGTGTGTCCTGTGCCTGGTCTAAAGGCCTCTTCAGTTTACAGTGTGTTTAGACGCAAATTTAGCCCATGGCTGTACTGAATGCTCTAATCACACACAACAATACCTGTCAAACCATTTGACCATTCACAAAACACTGCACTTCTCTCTCTCTTTCTCTTCCTGGCAGGTAGATCTTTGGTGCTGCAGCTGCATGTCATGAATTGAATGAAAGCAGCCACTTGAGCAACTATGTGTGCACCCAGTAAAAAGGTGAAAAAGCCTGTTAATCCTTTCCACGATTATTGCACTAGCATTGCCCAATTACATCCAGCTCAGTGATAAGATGAATCTCTGATCACATTCATTTTGGCTGTTAAAAGCTGTATCATTTGCTTGACACGTAACACATTTGGTTGCTCAATGTTAACAGTACGTCTAACTTATTAATCACATTTTTCTGGTAACACAGGTGTTTGTAAAGAAGTTTTTTTTAATGTCATTTCATTTGAATTATTTAAGTTTTAATATTTAGGAAGAGCTTGAACAGGTAAATATAATAAAACCTTATGTGGGAATGCCACATAGTTTAATATGCATGATTTTGTCACATTAATGCACCTAAATGTATACTTCTTTAATTGTGAAAAATTGGTTAATCATAACATCTCTATCTCCATTCCACCCACTTTATCCTTCAATTCTCTCTCTCTCTCTCTCTCTCTCTCTCTGGCTGTCACTGCAGCACAATGTAGGAGCATTAGTATGCAAATGAGGTGCGGGGCGACAGGTGGCCTGCTAGACAGCTCAATTAAGCAGCTCGTTAAAGGCCAAGCTAACGAAGCGGCCTGCACTGCAAGCCTCAACAAACAATGTGACTGTGCAGGCTACAAATTGGTGAGTGCTAGTTCTGTATGTGTGTGTGCACGTGTGTAGCAGGCAAGAGGCAGAGAGTTGGAGATAGAGACTGTTTTAGTGTGTGTGAGTAAATGTGTAAGCAGTGAGTTGGAGGGAGAGATTGATTCAGTTTATGTGTGCGTGTGTGTTTAGCAGTTAGCAAGGCTTTGTGGTGGACACAACTAATAATGGCTAATAAGATGGGCTGTTGCTTTTGCTCCTCAGGAAATTGAAAGCAAAAAATAAATCACTTAAATACAGACTTTCCTAATTTTTTAATAATTTCCCTCCAAAACACTTTGCAGTAAACGGTCCCTTACACTTACACAAATTTTCATATTTCATAACATGTTTTCTGTGGATATACACTGACGCTGTAACAGATATACACTGTAATTTTTACATTCTGACATTGAGTCATTTAGAATGAAAGTTTTGATCAGGAATTCAAATGAAATTAGGCATGTATAGAAAAAAAACTGTCTTTAGTGTTTTAAGAAAACATTTAACAGAAGGTTAAATGTTTTAATTTGAAGAAAATAAATGTATAAGCCCTGACCTTACCAACTTCCAAAATCATCCTAAAGGAAAACATTTTTATTGGGTGATAAAGATATGGTTAGCAATATCTTGTGTATCCTCTTGTGTATTAAATGCATATTAATTGCTAATACTTTCTTATCAAGTTACATAAAAGTGTATACATTTTTTTGATTGAGATTACGGATTTGTCATATGTAAATCAAATTAGGGATTCACTGATTTTAAATTCTGAATGAAAACTCTAGTTATTTTCATGTTATGGCTGATAACTAATGAATATACAGTAATACAATTTTATACTATTTTTGACTTAATACTGTACATTCAAAATAAAACAAAAGCGTTCTAATGCGTGAATTTAGGCATTACAACATTATAATGCACTATGATATTCATTGAGATTTGTTAAATATTACATTTTAACAGTGTTATTAGATGTGAGTTATATGTCAGCAAATGTAATTTAAATGTAAAAATATAGGAAACGTAAAAATGTAAAAATATGTAAATGTAAAAATATGTATAATTTAATATCTAATATAAACTAATAATGATAAATCAATAATCAAATGTACTCATATAGTCACGTTACTCATATACACAATACTATGTTAAAAATGCAAAATAAGCACCAATGGTTTTAGGTTATGTTTACAGTGAAAAATTAAGTCATGTTTGTAAAAATCATTTCAAACATTAATGATGTCTGGGATTAAATGCTTTTTAATGATTATGTTCCTGCATATGACATGATGAAATAAACATCTCTTTGTCTGATCACCCAGCAAAATAACCAGGGCTGGAAACATTTGAGCAGCTCTGGGACAATACCAGAAGCCGCCGCAGTTTGTGGTGGAGGAGCATTGTTTATTGTGGCTAGATAAAGTTGTAACACAGACATTTTAATCAGTTTGTAACACTTAGCATTTGAGCCTTATTATCCGGGGTGTGTTCACTGGTGCATGAAACAGCAGTGTTTGGGTTCATAACCCGACCCTCCTGTCTGAGTCTCACTGGCATAAAGCGATCATGAGCTCTAATGGTTCAGGGATCTGCCCAGCAAACGAGGTTAGGTATGGAGGAAGACAAAAACACAGGGGCTAAACAGAGCCGCCCCATTCGCGAGCAAGCTGCTGCAAAGCTGGCTGACTCATGAATATGTTAATCCACATTTGCCCAAATAAGTATGTAGACAGGGAGAGAAGGAAAAAAACAACAGCACTCATTAATTAATAAGGACAATGTGCCTTTAATGACAGAGTTGACACTGTTGGCGAACAAGTGATTGGGGCCTGAGAACGAGAGGTCATCAGAATGAGAGGAAGTGACACAGTGATGGGCGTTACTGTCAGAAGGAGAGGTTTTCTGTCCTAGGAGGGCAGAAAAGGTGATCGAGGACATGCCGAGTATAATGACGTCAGAGCTGAGCCATGAGAGAGAGAGAGACAAACAAGCCAGTTAGACAAGTAGACAGCGCAGAGGTCAGGAAAGTCAAATTTAGATATACACTGATTTGGAAAGAGAAAAGAGGACACTTCAAGGATATAATAATATAAAAGAATGAAGTAATCTGAAGCTTTGCATGTCATTATTTTCTGTCACTGTGTGTAATGTATGTGCCTTAAAATAATGATTGTTTTCAAACAGGTTTCCTGAACACTCTCCCTGACTGCCATTGGTTGGAAAACATATAGTCCTGACCCAGTGTTCCTGTATCAGGCTGATCAGGATGCAGAACAATGTTTTGATAGCACCTCAAGGCCAAGGTTAGTACATTTGTATCAGTTACAATAGGATTTTTTTTTTTTTTTAAGTAAGAATATATAATTGTCTCTGCATAGTAACTTGGAAAGGAGGAGTGTTTTAACAACACTTTACAAACATTTTTGGAAGGTTTCAGGAAGATGGTGAAGTTTTTTGCCAAAAAGCTGTCTTGATATTGTCCAAATGTCCTTCACAGTTGAAAATCGTATGTGAACGTTTTCTCAAGTTGAGAAATTGTTCACGTACAAGTTGAGAAACTGTGATATCATTTTTATACCCGAGTTTCCTAGCTGTGCAACTCTAAACAAATCTTTTCCAATGAAGAAACAAACTATACCTTTAAGTTTTATTAATTTTTCCTAAGAAATCTACTGTGACATTATAGTCATGTAGATAAATAACCATTTGATGCACATTGTATGTATTGTACACATCGAAAATGGCATTTGTCAGAAATATTTGACCAAGTTGACTGCCTAGATAGCACAGTGAATGTATACAATATTGCGGTGAAATGTTTACATGGTTGCCGCTACATTTGATTCAAAATCAATTGAATATTGACAAAATATCTTCCATGTATTTTGTCTTAAAAAATAGGCAAGAATAAATCTGTTGTCCTCTATGATTCCAATTCTTTCCAACAACAAAGTACCTGTCCGTGACAAACCCATAAAATGTTTGCTGGCACATTATAATGCTATAATGTTTCATGAATGAATTGAAAAATCTCACACATTTTTACCAGTGTTTGTTCCTCAAATTTGCCCTATACACTGACTTTCATGAGAAACATATAAGTATTGCAAATTCTGACATATACGAGAATAGATATTAGACAAGATGCTAATGCCATTCACTAGCAGCACTTCAGCATTTTTGTGCAAATCCCCCAGGCCTTATGGTGTTTGATTCACAACAGTAAAACCCAGACTTGCATTCAAACACACCATCTCTTTTTGATGCAACAAATTTAAGCATTGCATCGAGGCCTGAAAGAATGACAATGGCTCAATCTTTTCAAACACCAGAGCAGCGCCACACATAGAGATCAGAGTAAGTTTATGAAGTAATCTCTCTTTCTCTCTCGCTATCACTCGAACCCCTCCCTCTCCCCCTCCCTCTGTGTTATGACATAGTAATCTGTGTCTCTAGCAGCTTGAATGAATAAGCGTATGAATGGCTGTTTTCTGCCTACATGAACCTATTGGAGGTGGATCAACCATATGCCCATGGACATGCACACTCAATGACAAAGGCGGATACCAACAGGTCCTCTCTGACACAAAGCGCCGTGGGGCTGAGGGAGGCGGGCGAGACGAAGGGTGCATCTTAACCTGAGACGTCCACACACACACACACACACACACACACACACACAGTAAATATTCTCTCACACACCCCACCGCATGCCACCCACACAGCAATATGGAGATGCGACATTGACTCAAACTCAGCCTGGAGAGTTTGTGAAGATGATGCTTTGTTGTGTTGTTTTTGAAAGGTCTTGGTTTGTGCGGGTGATGTTATTGTGTATGTAAAATGTATGGAGGAAGAGGGAGGGACAGTAGGAAAGACGAGCACTTTTTTGGAGGGGGCCAATCTGTTGCAGCTCTGGATGAAGTCTTGTGTTGGAGAGACAGTGTGTTAAGCGACATATGTGACACAGAGGGACAAAAGGATTATGGTCCTCTTCTCGTTATCCGTGCCTTTGGACAGTGGGATTATCATCCGGGGAGTGAAGATCTCGGGCCGCTAAGCTTCAGTGCGGCCCGGTTCCTCATCTCTTGTGTGGGGTGGGAAAGCAGGGGTGAAGGGGGATCCCTGGAGAGCGGGCTGCTATTAGGATTTACATATCCATCAGAGATCAGAGCTATGTTCTCTTTCTTTCACTTTTCTCTCTTCTTTTTCCTCTGTCTTGCATACACATGCTCGAACATGCTGAGATGTTTCATTTTACTGTTTCTGAATTAGACTGTTTCTGGATTTTACAGTTTCTGTTTACTTTTGAAAATGCTTCGAATTTTTCCACATTTATTGTTATTATATTTAATATTTTTATATTATATGCAAAGAGGCTCAAAGTCCACATATGAAAATGCTTGTTCTTTCGTGTTTATTATTTATTATATTATATTACATTATATTATATTGTGTTGTATTATACTTTCATAACAATGTAAGTCTAAAGATTGACTTAAAAAATAAACAATTCTAAAAATGTCTTAGTATTTGGTTTGCTCATATTTTGCTTTATTGATAGCGTCACTCAAGCTGCATGAACTCAAAATCCATGACAATTATGTACAAAGTTAGCATGGTCAGATTACAAACGTATTTATTTTCCTAGAAATAGTACAGAATTTTATTTATAAAAAAAAAAAAGAAGAAAACTATGAATATGCATTTGTCATAATGTTTTATTTATTGAATTTTGAAGCTAAAATGTTTTTTAACCCCATTGTGTCTTTACAAATAAATGCATCACTCTGGCATGGAGAAAAATAATAATTTTTGTATTTGAAAAAATTACAGGAGGAGTACAACGGAGTAACTACTGTAGCGGAGGGCAAATGAAGTTCAGCTGTGGTGAAGGGGTGAGACAACAGCGAGAGAGATCGAGAGACGTGTCTAATGATGGAATGCACACAGAGAGATGAAAACCAATGGAGACAAAGGATGTACAGAGTGACCGAGAGAGGGAGAGAGATGGCGATGGGGTGGCTGACTGCTGTTGAACTCATCCTCATCTTAATTGATGAGGTCATCCCGGGGACTATCCCAAAACTAGAGTGTCCCCGGGAGGTCGTCACCAGGTCATCCAAAAGTCAAAGTGCATCGGAGGGAGATGACATAACATGTAACTTTTCTTTGTGTTTTGATGTTGTTGTTTGTTTATGGGGTTTTTGCATTTAATTGAAAGGATAGTGTAGACCAGACAGGAAAGTGGAAGGAGAGAGAGAGTGAAATAGGATCAGGACCAGATGCAAGCTGGATTTGAACCTGTGTCCCCTTCAGCACAACATATATTTCTATGTCCTGACTTTCTATGTGCATTACCAACTGTATCATAGCTCCAACTTCTATGCATTATTACTAAACTACTTGCTGCTTTAAAATGATTTCAAATTCATCTAAATGAGAGTTTTTAAATTATTTGTATTAATTTTTTCTTACAAGATTTTCAAAGTTGTTGATATACAAAGTTATTTTTCAAAATCATGTTTAGGTGCCACATTCTCAAACCAACATTTGTTGTTTTAATTATTTCTTATTTTAGCTTAAAATTTTCAATTTTAATGTGCTTTATTGGCGTTACAAAACATGCATTACCTAAAGCATACAATAAAAAAAAAAAAATTATATATATATATATATATAATTGTGTATGTATGTATAATCCAATATATAATCAATTTTAGGTGCCATAAAACTAACTTAATATGAATATTTAAAAATATATATATTTTATTAATTTGCATACATTACTTTTTTAATAAATGAGTAATTATTAGGAAACTAATAAAAAAAGATTAAAGATAAATTAAAGCTACAACAGATAATAAAAACTTTTTTTCCCCCTTTTTCTCACACATACAAAGGTTTGTTTTGAAATTGGGTCCGTGTCTTTGATATGCTGTCAATCAAATGTTCTCTGCTGGAATTGCTAGAGTGTAGGTGTGAAAGTAACCTTTGCAACACAGGCACACAAACACACACATATACAGAGAAACTCAAATAGACTCGCTCAGCGACAACACACTCAGTAATTGCTGCCTATTAAGGTCTTCGCTTCTCTCCCACACCTCATTACAGGCCTAAACACACACTGCCCCCTCATTACAGATTGCTTGCTAAACACACAAACATATACAATTCCCTCATTCCCACCTGTCAGTTAAACACTCAACCTGGCAAGCGTGACCACTGAGAGTTGGGTGTTAACTCACTGATGACAGTGTGAGAGGTGTGGGCTCTGTAACTCCATTCCAATACATGATAGAAAACTGTTGTGCTGACCTTATGTGTCCGTGTGTGTTGTGGGAAGTCTCTAACGAGGCATTTGTCAGGATGGTGCGGTTCTCTTGTTGGATTAGGGTTGACTTTGAACACCCTATAAAGAAAATGGACTCTCATATAGAAAAAACCAATTAGCACTTGTATCTATACATGTACCTCACACTGTTAGAAACTGTTTAGTGTGTTTGCATGTGCAAAAGCAACAGGTTCAAATCCGTTGTTTGGGGAAAAAGCTGGTGATGTGAGTGCATAAAAATAATGTTTTTGTATATGCAATAATGCAGTGATTTAGTTTCATCATCATAATATTTGTTATTATAACTATCATCTCTCCATCTTGTGCTCCTGTTATTCTCTGCAATGAAATAATATGCAACCTTTAGCAATGGGGGGTTTGTTTGTTGTAAATTGGTGCAATTCACTGTAGACCCTGGTCCTTTTCTCACTCTCTCTTTCTCAAGGTGAAAGGAAATTGAATGTGCCAAAAAGAACAGATGGGTTGGTGAGAGGAGAATAAAGGAACAAAAAGTTGCTGCAAAACAGAGGAGTATAATTATGGTTATACCACAGTATGTGTTAGATCCAAAAGGGTATGACAAAGTAACTGTGCTTTTACTATATTACAGGCACAATCCCCCTGGAGTAACCTGGGATGAAGTGTCTTACAGACACTGATCATAATTCATGGCTCGTTCTCTTGAAAGACTTGAATCAGGAACTTTCCAGTTGCAGACATGAAGTTAAACCACCCCATCGTTAATGGTGTCGTTTTTGTTTGTTGTGATAATTTAGAAAGGAAGAAAATCAGATTACTTCTGTCCAACAGTGCCATTTTTTATGTCATTTTGAAGGAAACTGGAAGAAGAGCATTTTGAAACTTGGAAGGAAGTTCAGAACAAATCATGGAAGCTTGAAAAGAAGAATGAAAGAAAGGAAGTTCAGTCCAGGGTGATTAGTGATGTCAAACTTCCTTTTTTTATTAATATAAAATACAAGAAAGAAAAAGGTTTTATTTTGACATAATATTTTGAAGCAAAGACTTTGCCATTGACTTTCTAAATCATTTGGATAAAAACAATGTAATTTGCAAGACGTGTTCCCAGCTGACTGCACCAAGAAGCAAAAGCTAGTCATTTCTGACAGACAAACAGCTTGTGCATTGTTCATACTGTGGCTATGTCCTAATGTGTTGTTTGTCTGTGTCCCAGCTTGCGATAGTTTGCAGATCCTCTTCAAAGTACTTCAGATGACAAGGGACCCCTCTTAAAAACACAAGCCTGAACTCTTCAGTTTAAGAGCCCGGCAGTTTGCCTCGCTGTGTGTTTCTAATCCAGGAAACTGACAGATGCCCATAAATTATTTGCCTTTATTTTAAAAGCACAGCTCATTTACATCAATTTGTAAGAGGTGGGGGAAAGTAGTGAGGTGTTTGGAACTTTAGGTATGTATATGCGAGTGTGAAAAGGGGGGTCATCTTAGGTGGTCAGTGTAGCCATTCTTTTGCCCTAGTATCCTGTCATATTCACTGAACCCTTGCATACTCACTATTTCCACCCACACACAAACCAGAGCTCAGATGCTGCCTCCCCGCTAATTAGCAACAAGTCAGAGCCGCCCACTTCTGCAGGGCAGTAAATATTCCCACACACTCGCACAGACGTCCCTAACTCGGATACAAGACCCTCGTTCCTTCTCCATTCTTTCCCCTCTTTTCTGATTTTTATCACCTCCCCTTGTTTTGTTCCCACTTCTGCAGCCATCAATCATACCATTGACCTATCTTGTTAGGGGAAACTCACAGACACGCCCCCTCGCCTCATCCAGGCCTCAATCTCATCCCACGCTCTCTTTCTTTCTATATACGCATGCGTCCAATGTCCATATCTGACTTATACCTTCATGCTCCGTCCCGCTCTCCTGCGCAGTTAGTGGTCAGGACAGGCTTGTGGCCGTGGGCCGGACAGGGTCGTGGGGAGGTGTTGTGGGGGATTAGATTTAGGGAACACTCTGGGTGGTACGGTAGCCTCTGCGACGAGTACAATGCCTCCTGTGTCCCCATGTGACACACACCCTTGTTTTACAACAGGGGAGGAGACACCTTCAATGCCCCAATGATGTGAACCACCCTGAGCCTATTCACGGTGACAAACGGCCACTGCTGGCCCCTGCGACAAACACATGCATAGACAGACCGCGGCTATCACACTCATAAACACGGTTTTTGCTTCATGTTGTGTTTATTTGCTAAACTGTCCTGGCAAAAAAACACTACTGTTAAATGCACAATGGGAGACGCATTGAGACTACCTAGATGACATTAATATGTGCACTCAAATCCGAGACAGATGGAATAAAAGGCTTTCCTCTACCTTTAGCGCTTTCTCCCTCTATTTTCTCTCTGAAAGAACCTTCTTGGCTGGCTCTCAGTGGAGTTGAATTGGTATGGCTTTAATTGAATCAACTAGTTCTTTTCTTGTGCCGCACTTATGAGGCCAGAGCAGCCAAATGGCTTGATGACAACGTAATGGCAAAAGAATGAATGAGCAACGCTGCCAGAGGGGAGTGAAAACCCAATGGCATTCCTTCGCATCTGCAGCGATACACAGTCGCACACAACACTATTACAATTACTGAACTTAGCCAAAACACAGGAAGAATGACATTTTAGCAGAATTCTGAGATTTTTGTGAACTTGTAGGTTCTGTTAATGTCATGACGAACATTGTATACAAATATTCGATTCAAATGAGCATACTACATAGTTACAAAACTTTTTCATATGGTTATATATTTATTTATATTTAACGCAGATTATAGGTATGTGATTTTTCTTTTTTTTTTCTTTTTTTTTACCTCAAGGAGCTATTTCTACCTTATCTAAGCCTTGAATTTAATATAATAATTAAAACATGAAAACTTAAAATTAAAAAAATAAAAGCAGTCATGATTAAAATATTTGATGGGGGTTGGCTGACAAAATACTGTAGTATTTGTTAGACCTCATTTGTTAAAAGCAACTACTTTTTCATTTTTTTTTTTACCCCAAACCTGGATATTGAACCCATGGATGTGCTGTAATGTAACTAAATTACATTGAATATCATTAGACATGACTAAAATAAACGATTTTCAAGTTTAAATGTGGAGGTTATAATGGGAAATTAAACAACAGGAAAGTGATGGAAAGGTTCAGACAGTCCTACACAAATTCTCTTTCTGTTCTCTTTTGTCTGATCTTCCATATGCCAGATTTGACCGGCCATTTTGAACCAAAGAGACCTATCACACACAGTCTGTCATAACAGCACTTTCTTTCTTTCTTTTCTCAGCTTCCAGCGGAACATTGACAGGAAGTGCCACCCATTTTTTAAAGATGTTCAGGTTTTTGGAGAACAATCAGTGTGAGGCTGACGTAGATGGTCTCCACCCCTGGTTGCTGTGAACGTTAGGGATGCAGAGGAGGGATGGAGAGATGCATTCCTTCTAAAGAATCATGCTGAGACAATAGAACAGCGCACAGGCACTTGGGGAACAGAAGGGTGACACAGAGGGCAGGTTTCACCCACAACAACTCTCCTCCTTTGAAAACAAAACCCCAACCTGTTACTGCTTCAGTCTGTCTGTGGGAGGGGATGCTCGTAATAAAGCTGCCAGCCCCCTCGTTAGGCATCACAAGGGTAAGTGCATGTGTATGTGTTTGAGTGAAGGACCAGGGAGCAAAAGTACAGGAATGCTCTCTTTCAAGTGACGTTTGGGAGCGAGAGCTGTCACACTGTTTTTCATATGCATGACTTTTTGTCCCTTCCCATTTTTATCTTAGTTTCCTCTAAGATGTCCTCAGTCAGATCAGTTTAAGCGAGTAGAAATACAGTACACTGTAAAAAAATATCCTGTTAAATTTATGTCAAAATAGGCAGCTGTTGTTACATGTAGAAAAATATGATGGCAGTGTTTCAGGTATAATGGGATGGCATATTAATGCCTGTATATTTTATAGCTTGTAACCATATATTTAATCAAGTGATGTATGCATGTATGTGTATATATACAGATCAACAAAATTTGTACCATGATTATCACTATATTGATACAGGTGGTAAAATATAGAACCACATGATCACTCAGAATTCATAATGGGTGACTTGTCCATAAATTATGGCCAATATTCATATATAGAGTGCACAGTGTCATACAAAACAACATCAGGATAACACACAACACTAAAATAATGCAATAAACAAAAACTGAATAAGAGAAAATGTAACACAAAGTATTCGAGTGTACGCAGAGGCGGACAGTAGTGAAGTATTTTTACTCTGCTTTAAAAGTACATTTAAAAGTATCTGTACTTTATCAGAGTGTTTTTCTTTAGAAAACTTTTACTTCACAAGTTTGCCAAAGCATAATGTACTTTTTGACTGCAGTATGTTTCATATTAAATATCATTTAATACTTAATTTCATTAGAAATCTAGTACTTTCTTATTTTTACTCAAGAAAAAGTCATTCAAAGTTGTACTTGGGTACAAGAAAGTACTAAATTTTTAATGTTCTTAAGTATTAAAGGTAGAAAAACAACTTTTATTTATGAAATGTATTGCAGTAAAAAGCACAACATTATGCTTCGAAATGTAGTGAAGTAAAAGTTTTCCAAAGAAAAACACTCTGATAAAGTACAGATACTTTTAAATTTACTTGAGTATAGTAAAAATACTTTACTGTCCACCTCTGAGTGTACTTATGACAAAAATAAGAATAAAATTACTTTAAAAAATATATATATTTATTTGTGATGTATCACACAGGGACTTCTGGGAATGTCCCTTCACAATAATTATATGGTAATTCATAGTTTTTACTTGCAAATTTACAGTAAAATTACATATGATGTAATGTTAAATCATTTACAGTTTCACGTTGTATACAGTTAATCAGTTAACAAGCTTTTACTGTAGCATTTTGAGTGTTTTTTTTTTAAACCGTAAATTAAAAAACCTGTATGACTGACTTTTTATGTGTGTGAGGAATATATATATAGATATAGATGTAAAATGTAAAGAAAGTCATTGGGGTCCAAAACAATAGACCGACTGAGTTTCACTGTATGGACCATCCTTTGTGTTCTGAAGAAAGATCATCATGAGAGTGAGTAAATGATGAGAAAATATTTGTTGGTGAACTTTGGTGCCTTTTGGTGCAGATTTCATAAGATACAAAAACTTTTTCTTGATGTCATCTCAGCATCCCCCCTCCTTCACACAAGAGCACATACGCAATAACGCACCCCTCCTTTTTATCTTTCCCTCTTGCAGGATCAGGGGAGCAGGTTGTGGTAACATTTCTAGCATTTGGCTGCAGCAAATCCCACAGCTTTTTTCCTGAAAAGAAGTAGCCACCTTAAAAAGGGGGGCTCTCCTCCAGTGAAGCCCCTGGTCTTTCTCCTGCTCTTAGCCTGCGCTCAGCGGTCTGCATGCCCCTCACCATCGCTTGCAAATCCCCCTTTATCCGCTGGCAGCCAGATGGGGTGGCAGGAATAATAGGCAGAGTCTGATGAGCACCATTCAATTTGTCCAGCCGTGTAAAGGAGCTTGTAAGCCGTTCGATTTGAGCAGGGTGTAATAGTAGCCAGGGGAGCAGAGGCTATGTTAAGACTTAATTACCTACTAATGGCTGTTGTAGGGACAAAAGACTTGTGTAGATCCCAACAACTTACACTCCTGTAATAGAGGAGAAAGGCAGGGAGAGGAAGGGGTTGAGGGGGAACTGTTTGAGATGTTGTGGTCAGAAATTTGTGATGTCCATATGTTAAAAATGTAATCGACACAACTTTTATTCACTATGTGTATGAGGTGTGTGGATGGAAAGAAAACGGAAAGAAGAAAAATACTTTGCTGCATGTACTTTGATTTTCTTTAGAAAGCCATTTGGGCTCAGAAACCTGGGAGAAAAGGTTTTCTTGTTTTTTTTTCTTTTCTTATTCTCTTTTTTCAGTTGGAGGGAAGATTAGCAGGATTAAGACTGGCTCACATATGCTGCTCATCACTATTGGCATTCAACACAACACAAGCCCAACTGCCACCCAGACGGGGAGAGAAAGACAGAGGGTGAAAGTGAAAGTTTTCCTCTGATATTAAAGCATTGCTACACTGAATCAAAACTGTTTGGAATAATTGTGGAAGAGAAAAAGGCTGTTTAGTGAGAACGGGAGAAACTGTTGGATAGTGAGAGGAGGGAATCATAATGGATTTATGATGGAAAATAGCTAAAGAGGTGCAGGATATACAGTGGTGTCCAAAAATGTTAGACTACATTTTTTTTGTTTTCATTTTAAATGGATTTTGATGATTGTTAAAAAAGTTATAATGATGGAATAACATCTTTAATATTGAGCACTCACCAATCAAATTTAAGCAAATTTGTGACACTGACCATGTAAACTTCTTTATGGATAACATGATTGTCAGGTTTTAATTGTAGTGTTCATGAAGGGGGACAAACCTAATACTGAGAAATTATTACATTTATTTTCGTTTTTCAATTCGACCTTCACTATTTATGCTGATAACATATGTATAATGTATAAATATATAATGATTTTTTTAATGTACCCTTTTCACAGACTGGGATAATGCTTTCCCACAGTTAATAACATAAATCAAACAAAGGTGTTTTTTTTTTTTTTTCATTTTTAAAAATGTAATGTACATTTATAATGCTATACTTTGTGTTATATATCTTAGGCATTATTTCAGAAAACGTGTTAATGTTGCTTTGTGGGTTTGTAAGACAATGACTGTAGGAGTGATGGCAAATTTGGCTAAAAGTGTCTCCTAAATTCATAAATGTAATTTTTTCTCTGTTCCGACCACCATAATCAATCTCTCAATTTTTTTATACCTCTTTTGGTCATAGAAACGCTGAAATTATCTTTTTCTTTTGCTATTGGACCAAATGGATTCACCAATATACAAGTTTACCCAATAATGACTTCTGCTTCTGAGAATCCTGAAAATGTAAAGATGTCCATTAGAAAATAATTGAAAAAAGAAGAATTGTATTTCTCTATTGAAAAAAGCTGCTTTTTTTTCAACTTTATTTTGCAAATAACCCCTAAAAAGAACCTCTGCTTTACAGAAGAGCAGAAAAATGTGCCGTGACATGACAGAGTTAGATGTAACGCATGAATATTCAGGAAACATGAACACATACAGAAACAGAAACCGACAAGCTTCTAAATACTGTAAAGTACTGTGCTTATGTTGAGTTTTGGGTTAACTGTGCAAAAAAAAAATGCTGAAACTGAACTCCAGCTGGATTCATTAACTTAAGCATGACTGCAGTTACAGCTCTGGCTAAATTAGCTCTTAGAGTTAACAGTTTTTACACATATACACACCTCTGCCCACCTCATTATCGGAATGCGCACAGAAACACATCATCTAATAAAGGTAATGAGAAAAGAAGAGTCTGGCTCTGCCAACAGGCAGAAACTAGCACTCAGTCTCCTTCCACACTCATCCACCAGGCTAACATTCATTCACCCTGTGGTGGCAAAAGCTCTCGTATCTCTCTCTCCCTCTTTTTCTGAGGCAGGCCCTCGTTAAACAAATAGCTTTTAATTAAATGACTGAGTGACACAAAATGTAGCCAGTTCTGCGTTTCAGTTGATTACATTTTCTGCACCTGAACTGTGAAGTTTGAATAAGCTGTAAAATGCTGTCTGGAAACTGCATTGCTTTCTCACTTTTTTCAGTTTTTAAGCAAATAGCTTCAGAAAAATGATTTAGATTAAAATGTTATATGTACATATATATGTATAAAGGAATAAACAAGTATCACTTTGCATCAGTGTGCATTTTCATTTATTTAAATAATTACAATTGCAGCAGTGACAATGGGTTCACATAAACTGGTCCACAAAAACGTACAATTAAGCACAATGCTCATTAGGCTTTCACGCAGCACTTATGTAATCACTAATGTGGCCAGTGTTTATGCCGTAAGTCTTGTTTAAGCAGGTCTGTAAAAAAATGAGTGTACATCTTTGTCATTGGCTCAGAGTGATCTAAATCAAGAGGTAATGACGTCAGCCATGCATGCTCTTAATTAGCCTTAATTGGCAACATTCTCGGCGGACTACAGTTACCAAAGTTGGGATGAATCGAGGGCAGACCAACCCCTGTCTTTCTCGCTCTGTAATTGCTCCCAAGACAGTTGTCAGTCAGTGTGTGTTGTGTGGGTGCGTGTGAATTTGTGTGCATTCTTCCCCGGGTGACATTTCAGATAATTATATGCGCGAGGAATAAACTGCAGCTCTGACAATAGGGCTCTTTCTGTCCCACCGTTTCTAATCCAGACAGTCGCGGCATATATTACCATTTTGGTACACTTAACAAGTGAGATTACCGGAATCTATAATGAAGGAACTGAACTACAACTTCTCTCCGACACCGCCGGTTTAAACCAACTCATTTGCATAAGCGTATTTAACGAGAGTAAACAAGCAAACAGACAGACGGGACTGTCCGCACGGGGAAAACAACCAAACAACAAGAGCTCAAAGATGCTTCAATGAAAATATGTTAAAGACCTTGATCTGGTGATGTCTCTCCTAAACTCATTGATGCGTCTGTTAAATCTACACCTGTGGAGTCAGAAGAACAGACACATTTCCAGACACTTTTGATCTATCTATCTATCTATCTATCTATCTTAAAATAGGCTATACATACCGCCACATATCTGCGTTTATGTCCTATTAATGTCCAAACAAGCGAAATGTAAATTGGTCATAAATATGGTGCTGTGAGTAACCCGCCTGTTTATGCCCTCCTCTTCTGCCCCAAACAATAACTTCTGTTTGTCCATATTGGCCTAATTGAAATGTTTCAGATCATAACCGTTAAAAACCATTTTACACGCCTCGTTTATTAACGATTTAAATGCGCTTAACGGCTGAAATCAGTCAGCTGTCAGGCCCCAGCATGGGGTCACCGGGTTAAAACAATATGAGCGCATTCAAATCGCAAAATAGTGTCTGCTACTGACCGCGCTCAATCCTGCGGGAAATAGCACACGATCACCAAGAAAATCTTGCATCGGCATTCTGCATCTATCCGCCCCTCAAACCACTATTATATAGCATTTTGCAAAGCTAATTAATTCATATGAATCAAGTGAGAAATGTAAAACTAATATAAAATAGTCAATATAGGCTAATTTATTATTTATTGAATAATAATAAACAATTTAAAAAACAATGTAAAATTATATATATATATATTAGTTAAAAAAACATTGATAGTTCGGTTTATTCTTTTCGGTGTCAAACATGCACATGCAGTGCATTTATAGGAAAGTTAATTACATTATCAAACAAAGTTCTCTTAAGTTTTTATTTGTCCACGCATGCATCAGCTAACTTAATAACTTAACTTAAGTACAGTCTGCAGTTTGTTCAACCGTCTCTCTGTAATCCAAACCCAACGATGTTCTGTGAGGATGCACCATATGCGAAGTGTGTCTAATGCATTTAATGAAGCCTCAGTTTTTTTGCAATGACATCAGGTTTCAGGACCCCCACCCACTGGAGCTCATTGGTTCTTGACGGGCTGTCGGAAAAGCGTTGACATTGTCCCGGTGACTTGCCCCCGGGTGATGGGGAGGAGGGACCTACTATAAAATAGCCCTCGTCACTCGGGCGTGCCAAACACAAACAGTGCACGAGTGAACTGGAATAACGAGTGAATTCTGCAAAGACACACACAAGCACGCGCTTGCACCTGCTACCGGTAAGTCTGAATATATAGAAAATATTGATTAATTTGTATAAAAGTATAAAAGCATTGTAGCCTACACTAGTAAAGGCCCGCGTTATTTAAACGATTACATCATTTTCTCCTTGTAATTATTCAGTGGAGTAATTTATTATATGCTACTGTTTTGATATATTAGATAATCGCTAACTTTTGTTGTCATAATTTTTATTGTTATAGTTTGCTGAACTGGAAAACTGTAACAAACTTTACAGCTTTACCTTATGTAAACTTATTGAGTTGGGGAGTTAAACAATCTCTAGGACTTTAAATCTGTTGTAGGCTACTGCGTTTAATCAAACCGTGTTAATTCGTTTTTAACTTTTCGTTTTTATTTTCGTATTACATTTTTAAGTTGTAGTTTTTAACCATTCCCTTCTTTTAAAGGAATATTGACATCTTCGAGAATCTGAGAGCGCACTGAACACCATGGACTCCGACACGAGCCGAGTGTCCAGTAGACCTTCTTCTCCTGAAGGCGACGATCTCTTCCTGTCCGCTGTCAAGAAGTCCGTGGGTTTCTCCGGCGCTGTCTCCTCCACGCAGAGCGATTCTCCTCCGGAGTTAAGAGGCGTAGACCTGCGGGGCGGCTCCAGCGCCGACGAGGACGCGGTGTCTCTGAAGATGCTCTCCAAAAAGGACCGTAAACTTCTATCCGAGAACGAACTGCAGAACATGCGCCTCAAGATCAACAGCCGCGAAAGAAAACGCATGCACGACCTCAACATCGCTATGGACGGGCTCCGAGAGGTCATGCCCTATGCCCATGGGCCATCCGTGCGCAAGCTCTCCAAAATAGCCACCCTGCTGCTCGCGCGCAACTACATCCTTATGCTGAGCAGCTCGCTGGAGGAGATGAAACGGCTCGTGAGCGAGATCTACGGAGGAGGGAGCGGGGCTCATCACACCGGCTTCCACCCGTCCAGTTGTGGCACCCTTACGCACGCGGCGGGCGCTCCGTTACCGGGTCACCCCGCTGCTGTCTCGCACTCGTCTCACCCGGTGCACCATCCTCTGCTTCCACCAGCAGTCTCCACTGCCGCATCTCTCTCCGGCCCGGGTCTCTCAGCCGTCAGGCCGCATCACGGACTCCTCAAGGCACCAACAGCCGGCGCTGGCGCATTTGGCGCTGGTTTCCAGCACTGGGGTGCGGGGATCCCGTGTCCGTGCAGCATGTGCCAGGTTCCTCCGCCTCACGTGTCCGGTATGAGCACCGTCAGCATGCCACGACTGACCAGTGACTCAAAATGAAGTACTGAACTTTGATAAAAGAACTTTGAGGCGCACCCACATACTTTTATATATTAAAGCTGTATTATCTCGTGTTTATCAGTTTATGGCTGAACAATTGGTTTTTGGAAAGCACAAATAGTTCTGAAGCGAAGAAAATGGATCAAAGCCACTAACATAGAGTTTTCTAACACTTTAGAGGTATTAGGTTTACTATCCATGTGCATTTCTGTGTATAAAGTTTGTGAAAATGGCATACCTTACTCTTTTTAGCCTTCAAACACTGGACTGCTATTTACAAAATAAGTTTAATGCGAAACAGATGTATAGCATACAATTAAGAATAAATTAAAACGTACAATTCATGCTGCAGTTAAAGAGGGCTAAATAGTTTAATGAGCCATTAATATTAGACGAAATGATACATTTGAAAAGTCCTGTAGCTTTGGAAACCATAATGGGACTGCACTGTGTAAATATGTAGATAGCGTTTGTACAGTTTGAGAGATTTTATATTACCTTCCCCAGTTTATGTTTGGGGTCAGAATTCATTTGCCAAGCGCTGTCTGTAACAGGAAAGATGCACCTGTTCATTCCTGCACTGTATCTCTCTCTCTCTCTCTCTCTCTCTCTCTCTCTCTCTGTCTTTATCTCTTCCTCTGTCTCCCTTTAGTTTTCGGGCTTTCCATCTTTATTTTTATCTCTTCTTTCTGCACAAGCTTACCCGTCATGGCCGATGCGAAGAATGATCAACTTTTATTTTTTATAATAAAGTGCAAAATGATATTTATTTACTTATTTTGATGGTATTTTCAAATTAATGTGCGGTGAATGTTTGAGTCCTAACTGTAAAATAAATGTTTTTAAATGATGCATTTATTTGCTTGCTTGTGTTGAATTAACCTAATTATTTTTTTCAGTATGCAAATTCACACATAGGTTATAAATAGTTCTTCCAACATGAAAGGGTCAGAAAGGAGAAACAAAATGAACAAAGACGAAAACCAAACATAAAATCAATCTGTCTATCTATCTATCTATCTATCTATCTATCTATCTATCATCTACCGAATCCTCAACACGTCAAAAATAATATTAAAAGAAAAATTAATTACAGCACAGTTGATTTGACGAAAGAAAAAGTGGTAGTCGATTCTCGGAAACAAATAATCACTTATTCGCTCGTGTAAAGAAGAAACAGAGAGTGCTCAGACCGACACCATTTACTTATTGTAAAATGGAACAAATAAAAAAGGCTAAGAATATTCAATAACTTACTTCGAGCTTATATAAACAGACCCCAAACCACAGTCTGTTTTTATTTGAGATAATATCGTTTATACTTGAGTTTAATATTTTTATTGTGGTTTATATTTTATTTTGTATTTTAGGCTAGCAATATTTTCATTAGTAACAACTAACGCTTGATAAATTCTATTAATCTAATTTTTAGTTAAGAATTTTTTTATTTTATTTCAAACGCATTAAATTATCTGAACAATGATATATTCACTATTTATCCCAACTGAATGATTTACATATTCTCCTGTATTATTTGAAAGTATTCATACAGGCAAATTAAACTAAGCTGCAACTGAATACCGAGTTTCTTTTTAATCAACAAAAACAGAAAGAAAGAAAATAATGTTGCTATTGATCATTCTAATCAACCCAATTAAACGAATTTTTGCTCAACTTTTGAGCTGTTAAATAGCCTTCATGCGTTCGATTGCGTTAAAATGACAAATTTGTTTATCAAAACCCCGTAATTCTGAACTTCATTGAAAAATTTCATCTGAAAGTCATTGATTAAGTTCCGACACAGATTGAGACAAAATACAAATTCCAGGCTATGGTGAGATGGAGAACAAGTTATTTGTGATATAATGAATGTGTCACAATTACTTTTCCCGTAGTTTGGCACGTCTAGGTGACATCAAGCTTTGGAACTCGCCTTCATTTCTTCACTTCACTTCTGTGTCACCTGTGAACACCCTTGCAGCTTTCCAAATGAGACCTTGTAGATTTTCTTATGAACTTTTATGAAGCATATTCACTTCATTCTGGAAAAAATGTTTTTAAGCCTCAAGGAGGGGATCATTTATTTAGAATGCAGGAAACGCATTTGAAGTCTTGCACTACACAAAATATGCACCGAAAAAAGGAGCTGCGAGATGGAGAGAATAAATAAAGGAGTATTAGGTGGAATACATAACTAAACGCCAGCAGCTGGATGGCAGATTGCTCTTTCTGTTGCAATGTTTTCCAAGGGATTTTTGAGCTGGAACGATATGGAGTGAAGCTGGCTTTGGAATATTCATATTTGCCACTTGTTTATTTGTCTATCTGTTTTAAAATTCATTATATTATATTATTATAATTCGTTATATACACTGTTAGCGATCTCTGTCAATTACACAGTATTTAACTGTAATATGAACTGTACTTTACTGTAAAACAGTTACACAGTATGTTACTGTATTTTAAAATTGCATTATGGGAAATATCCTCTTGGCGCCATTAAAATACAGTAGGCTATTTTTCATTTACTGTAAATCCAAATACAGTAAAAAAAAAAATGAGCGGGAAACCTGACCAATGACAGAAAGGCTTTTTTTCTGCTTGGAGAAAGAAGAAGAAGAAGAAGAAGAAGAAGAAGAAGAAGAAGAAGAAGAAGAAGAAGAAGAAGAAGAAGAAGAAGAAGAAGAAGAAGAAGAAGAAGAAGAAGAAGAAGAAGAAGAAGAAGAAAAGGAAGACGCACACTCCTCCCAGCTGCAAATGTATGTACAATATTTCTGCTTTTTCATTACATATTTTATGTCAGTGTAATTTTAGGGGTTATTTGTTGGTTTAATTAAAAGCAAAATAATAATAATAAAAAAACCGCTGACACTGCACGAAGCGCAGTTTCCTCACGGTGTTCGTTGGTAGAGAGCGGAAACTCATTTGAGATTGAGGAGAGTTCTGTGCAAAAAAAAGATCTTTCTTTCTTTTCTTTCCTTTTTTGTAGAACGTTTCACCATCAAAGTGCGAACATAAACAGGTCTCTGTCTTCGTTTTGACCACGTCGGTAGCAGGTGAGGTTTTATGTGAACTTGTATGAAATTGTTGGCCAACAAACTGAGCTTTTAATGGTACAGCTGTGTAATCGCTTGGCGCTACCCATATACAAGTGTATAAGTGTACAAATGTACAGCATGCATTTACTGCTAATGTAAAACCCGCAATGTTCGTCTGCAAACATGTTTTGAGAAATAATATGCATTTATGAATCATGCCAAAGCGCGAACTTCAGGTTTTCGTGTATGCGTGCACGTTCTTAGCCTCTCCGCACTTCACTTCAGTCGCACACGTAACGTTACCGCAAACACAGAAAACCCACAAAAATAGTGAACAAATCTGAACAACACAATCTGAATTCTAGATGCACCGTGGAAGGCTGTAAGTTACAGTCGTGTCGACTATTCTCCAGCCTTTGTGAACACCTAAGATGGCACATTCGAGATGGTAAAACAAACGGAATGTCCAGTTAGTAACTGTAAAAACTATTTTAGAGTGAAGTAGGCCTAATCATTTTCAGCACACCTCCGTAGGAAGCATATATGTGATTTTGAGAAATCTGTGTCGATAATAACGTTACTGCGCTTTCTGCTGCTGTGCCAGATGTGAATAACATTACTGATGCAGCTGTCTTACCTAACATCTCCTCAAATAAGTTTCGAAAAACAGGGGTTAGTAAATGATGATAGAATTGTCATTTTTGGGTGAACTATCTCTTTGAACTAATCAGAAAGGCTCCAACATCGACATATATTATTTTATGTTAAGGTTCATTGCGAGGATCAGTTCTGTCAACAGCAAGTGCTCTGCAAAATTCCAGATCAGCAAAGGAAGTGGGAAGATGGTGCAAAGGAGAAACTCTGGCCTGAACCCTCGTGTGTCCTCCTTCATTAAAGAGTTTGTGGATTTCAGCTGGCAGCTTTGAAAAAAATAGTCCATGCTTCTTGTGTGTAACAAAAGTTTGAGGTCTTTTTGAAGCTTCACTATCGTTAATAGTTTGTAACAATGTTTTGTTTGAGTTTTAACTGAATCTGTGAAAATATTAAAATGTTATTGCAAGGATTACAATTTAACAATTTAAAAAAAAAAAAATTACACAGTTGTCATTGCTTATTTTCATAAAATAATGTAATATTTTTTTTTCTTGTATTTCAAATTTCAATTGAAGAAAAGACCATACAATTACTGTATATTTTACAGTAAAAACTAAAAGTACAGTATACATACTGTAAATACATTTACAGCAAGTTAAATTGTACTGTAAATATTAATACAGTATTTTTACTGCAAGTTTAATTTACAGTAAGTTACTGGCGAACTGCTGCCAGTAAGTTACTGTAATTTCTGTAATTAATTTTTAACAGTGTAATTTTTATTTTATGGATAAACGTTAGCTGATTATAGAAGATAGTGAAGATAGTTTCTGTTTAATTTACATTGTTTATTTGCCGAATTATCCTGGATGCATTTTGGGCAGTTTAATAACATCATGCCAACTGAATAGTTTAAATCAAACAAAAATGACTCATGTACATCAACAAACCTATGTAAGTTTTTTAAAGTTTCAGTGAAAAAAAGTTTCAGTATTGCACCCACCTAGCAGCAGTCAGTGTAATAGTAATTTCGACCCCAGACTGAGCTCCATGAAAGCAAACAGGCTGCTGATGTCTTGTCTTCCTTCACTAACATCTGCTTGTTAGTAATTTTCAGCA